GTAGTAGTAGTAGTAGTAGTAGTAGTAGTAGTAGTAGTAGTAGTAGTGGTAGTGGTAGTGGTAGTGGTAGTGGTAGTGGTAGTGGTAGTGGTAGTGGTAGTGGTAGTAGTAGTAGTAGTAGTAGCAGTAGCAGTAGCAGTAGCAGTAGCAGTAGTAGTAGTAGTAGTCGCAGTCGGGAGAGGGCCGTTATATGTTGTGGAAGATACAGCTGAACGTGTAAGTATAGATATTTCTCAAGTTGCGGAACATTTTCTTAAGATATTTCTTTTACACAACTTCTCATAACATCTGCGAGAAATTTGTTTACCACGTAAGTTCTTGTAACTTCCGCACATAAGTTCCCGTAAGGTCAATTAAGCAAGTTAGCAGAAGATACGCGGCGCTTAGGCGGAAGTTAAGAAACCGTTAAAAATGATGTGGTGCCCGGCAAGAGCGCTGGCTGAAAACAATACATTGCGCAGTGGCATTTGGGCTCAGAACGCGCGTCAAAGGGAGTCTCCACGCAAGACTATACCGGCGTGAGTACTGCCACTTGGACGTCTGCCGTAAGTGGAGTGGAGAAGACTTTGCGGCGCTTGGATCCCAGCCAAGCCGAGTCCAGGAGCGCGCACTTGAAGTCGCTACAAGACTCTTTGTCTCGCGCGCAAATACCTCCGGAGCAAGAGGAAAACCTCTTGGCAGCCCTGCTCTTCTGCACGCAGCCGGAAAAAGATACGCTTTTGGCCGCAGACGCCCCGCGGCCACGGACGGGAAGGGACGCCGGGCCATGCAGCGATACGAAGCCTGTCCATTGTTTACGGGGGCGCTTTGGCCCTGGGAGCAGTGGCTCCGCAGAAGCCTTGCGCGGGAAGGCGGCGAAGCGGAAAACGCACGCGCTAGACTTCTCACTCAAGCAAGAAGAAAGCTCAGCCTGAAGTGAAGAAAGTGGGAAAGGAAGGGCGTGGGAGGCCGAAGGCAGCAAAGGCCTGCGCAGACGTTCCTGAGCGCGGGCAAGAGACGCCTACGCGCGCACAGACTGGGCGACAACAGTGTAGTTTTCACCTTCTGACCTCACAACAGTCCGCAGTGTGGGAGAGAGATAAGGACTCAGGAACGAAACGCGCAATGTTGCTTTTCTAGGTATATCCGATGTCCTGTCCGCGGGATGTTCACGAGACGGACAATGTCCGCGACCGTATACATACCCGCGAGATGCGGTATCCTGGAAGCCTTGTTCAGCGGTGGACGCTTTTCTGTCTTAGGCAAGTGTCTGAGCTCATGTGGCCAGCGGCTCAGAAAACCTACAGGTATACCGGCCTGGCCTTTGCGTCAGAGCACAGATTGGGCGCCTATGGGGGTACGCACGGGGACCTGGTCAGGAAATTGCAGGTTGCCTGACGCTGGCCTCTGGGTCAAAAGGATCGATAGGTCAGGAAACTGCGGGGAGAGGGTACAGGTTTCTGATGTTGGCCTGCGGGTCAAGAGTTGGTCAGGAAACTGCGAGTTTCTGATGTGGGGCTGTGGTCAAGAGTCGGGCGGGAAACTGCGGTTTCCTGATGTTGGGCTGTGGATCAAGAGCTGGTCAGGCTGGCCAGATGAGGAAACTGCGGGTTTCCTGATGTTGGCCTGTGGGTCTGGAGTTGGTCAGGAAACTGCGGGTTTCCAGACGCTGGCCTGATGCTGGCCTGTGGGTCAACTGAGACGAGAGCACTTGGGCCCAGACTTTGCAATCGGAGCCAAGCATGTCCGCAAGAAAGAGTGGCAAGGAATGACGACTTGAAGAGAGCTGCCATCGATCTGCCAGTTCCACCGACACTAACTGAGGCAGATGGCCAAGCGCAACAGTAGCGCAACCTCACACACATGCCAAGTGAGCCTTGGCGCATTCACTGCCAGAAAGGAAAAGGCAAAGACGCCGGGGGACTTCCAATGGGAGAAAGGCATTTTCTTTGGCAATACCAACAAGTCTGACAAGTACCTCATGGGAACGAAGAAAAGGTTTCACACAGCTAGATCAGCGAAGCGACTTCGAGAAGACGTGAGATGTTCAGCTGATTTCATTGAGGAGCTGATGGAAGTTTGCTGGAACGCATTGACATCTGACATCGATTGGGCGACCAAGGAAGGCTATTGGTGGAGATGAGACACCAGCGCCGAAGACTCCAAAGCCGGCAACATTCGTTAATGCCAGGAAAAACTTTACTGCAAGGACAATGTGCTGAGGTACCGTTGGAGACACCACAAAGAACATCAAGGCAGGTGGAAAACTATTCAGAGCAGGATTCTGGCGCGAGACGAGCAAGACGACCATCCCTCTCTACCTCTATGGCAACAGCTTCTATGTGAAGATCAATAGGAGTCAGATATGGTCAGCAAGTTGCCCAAGCAGCAGTCCATTGTGGCCCCTGTTGACCAGAAGGATGAGATGGAGCGTGCGTGGCGTGGTGTGGGTTTGGAGCGCCCGCCAGAAGATGAAGTTCGAGATGATGAGTTGACGCCCTTCCCGACCGTGAAGGAGATGAGGGAGCGACTGAAAGAGCTTTGCTACGCTGTCCACGGCAACAAGCAGACCGTGTTCGAGCGCTTGAGAAAGGCCGAGCGGGGAGAGAAGACAAGGAGAGACAAGCAGAAAGCCATTCTTGTGACCTTTGCGGGATCGAGAGAGAGAGAAGCCAACAATGAAGAGCTCAACTGAAGAGGAGTTCAAGAAGAATTCATGGAGAACAGATACGATGTCTATGCTGTGAGCAGCACATCGGCAACTTCGAGGATCATCGTCCTGGAAAGAGCATTTGTCTGGAGGCGTGCACGGATGACATCTATGGACGCGGGCCAGGGGCGAGTTGGAGGGAAGAGCTCACGAAGAAGGTCAACGTACGAACATGAAGACCGGGACTAAGTGGGGCGCAGAATTTGCACATCTGAAGAGGCTGAGACAGCTGAATCAAGATGGCAGCGCGCGCGTCAGAGCAAACCCCAAGCACATCGAGTCAGCAGCGAAGATCCTTGGAATTGAAACGTCAAAGTCAGCGCCAACACTTGCCGTCGCAGGGGGGAGCCAGTCCAAGAATGACAAGGACTTGGGCAGCCTGATGTATGTTGCTCCTGACAGGCCAGACTGTCAGTATGCCATTCGAGAGCTGGCAAAAGATCTTCGAGAACGAAAAGGCAATTCTGCAGGCAGCCATCAGGGCGACGCGATATCTGATGGGAACCCTGGACAATGGGATGAAATTCACACCATTAGGCACGATGAACTATTTCGATGTCTTCAGCGACATGGACTGGGCAAGCTGAAAGCGCGCAAGGAAGAGCTTTTCAGGGCTGGGGGACGCACTTTGGCAACCTACAGTTGGGGATTAGGCGTGGTTTGCCTAGCAAGGGGCCGAGTTCAACGGTGCAGTTGCAGCGGCAAGAGAGGCTTTGTTCTTCAAGCAGACCCCGGAGTTCTTTGGCGTGCCAATTATGGTCAAGATTTGGATGGACTCGAGCGCAGCTCGAGGCATTTTCCAACGTCAAGGAGGGGTGAGTTCGCCACCTGGAGGCAAAGCGCGTAGGGTACAAGATGGCCTGAAGGAGAAGAAGTTCGAACTGGGTGCAGTCCACGCTTCAAAGAACCTGGCCATCATTGGAACAAAGGCGTTGAATGAAGCCACACTGACCAAGCGCAGGTCAGGGGTTGAGTTGATCTCATTGGAAGCCTTCATCGAGGGAGCCAAGGTGAAAGACGAGTAGGAGAACTATGTGACCTCGGGAGCCGTGGCCAAGATAGAGCGAGGATTGAAGGTGTTGATCCTACTCACTACTTGGAGTACGCAGTCTGCTTGGTTGATGGGGCAGATGAGCGCAAAGAGAAAGAAAGCCCAGGAGTCAGGGCCTGGCACTGCTTCAGCATCATCATCATCAACATCATCATCGCGAGCTTGATTTGGACGGCGCTTAGCGTGACCAGCTTTATGGCGCGCTATGAGCGCAGGCAGGGTGAGAAGAAGAAGAAGAAGACGAAGACGAAGAAGAAGAAGAACAAGAAGAAGAAGAACAACAAGAAGAAGAACAAGATTGAATTTGAGAAGCGCCTCATTGAAGAAGAAGAAGAAGAGCCCAAGCCAGTGCAGCCGCAAGTGGTGAGTGTGAGGAAAGGGTGGCCGTGGTGAGCTCCAGTGCAGCGACCGCAAAGGTGATCAACCAGTTGAGGCAACGCAAAGCCACTTCATCAGGAGAAAGTGGTGGTGAGCATTTGTACACATGGCCTGAGTGGCGCGCCATTTGTGCCAAAGAAGGACTACAATAGAAGACGCGCCACAGAATGCCTACCTGCTGGACCACAGGACTGGGAAGTTGAAAGCAGCGAAGAGCGCAAGGACATGGTCCATGTGCTGGGACTGTCACCGCAGGAGACATGACCAGGTGTTCACGTGGAAGAACATCTGGAGCCGCGAGATGGGCTAGCGGCTTGAGCCTAGGATGGTGAAGTTGGGCAAAAGGCCTACCGTTTTCCCCAAAACAAGGGTGCAGAGACAGACATGCCACATGGTACACACGTATACCTGGCAGCCCATTTCAGCTTTGTGGAAAAGCGAGGGTCTCTCCGTGGTGCGCCACTCCGCTGCATAGATGTCTACATATATATATATACATATACGTTTGCAATGTCTTGCTTCAGCCTGTCTTGTGCCGTCAAGCCGCAGAAGGATTCCGACGATGCGACTATCTCGGCAGAGGCAAGGACGCGTACCGAAAGAGACAGACAGACACACACACACACACGTGTTGAAGACAAGAACCAAACAAAAAACATGCACCCTGCCACCAATGATGGTTGCAGAATGCAATTATAGATTTATAGAGTCAGCATTTTCTGCAAGGCTCTGAAGCGCACAATGGATGTGCTGCTGCAAGGCAAGGATGAGGCACGGAGCACTTCGCTCTTGTATTGAACGAGCAAATGGGAATGGGAATGCTACACAATGCTTGGTTGAATAACCAAACTCATGCTGACGACTCTGTCATTTCTACTACCTATATATATATATACAGTTACGTACGTCATTTGGTGCGCATCAGCGTCTCACTTGTGAGATTGTGCACTTTGTTCAGATTGAAAGTGAAGTGCGTGCAATACACTGGTATGATGCATGCGCAATATGTGTGAAGGATTTGGAAAAGAAAGAGGACGAGTTTGAGGAGACAGAGGCCGCCCAAGCAGCTACATAATGGAGTCTCCGGAAGTGGATAAGCCTAGAATTATCATTGGTTTTGCCACACTTTGCCTGTATCGGTGTGAGAGTGCATCAATTGCTAAGTATTTGGGTTAAACGTGGCAGTATATGACTGCCCGTAAACTGGAACATCCCTGCCCTGTGAGGATGACGCAGTCGATGAGGCTTGAGACTATCCGCAACCATATGGTGTTTAATCTTTGAGTGGTCCTTTGACACCCTTGCATTAGACATTCACATCATACACCTATGAGGACACCGGGAGTGAGGACGAGAAGGACAAGGATGGGCAGATAAATTGACACAGATCGACATGGATGAAAAAGGAAACCGATACCATGGGGGGCAGTACTACTGAGCTGTTTGTTTGGCACATCGAATGCCATGTTTGTCGATGAAGATGTCGAGTTTATTCTGTGCAAGGGTTGGTCACCGTTGGTCCATTGTTAGTGCTGGGGGACACTGCCGGTGCAAGCACTCCTTACAACAAACGGTGCATAGAAGGAGCTCACCAGATGCTTCCCTTTCTTGTTTCTTCAGGACGTTGCAACTTCGGGTGAGGCCAAGCGCAGGACGTGAGAAAAATGTTTCAGCAATTCATGTCTTGAGAGTTTATACATAGCTTCGCTGTATTCTTGATTCATGCGCACCCACAAGCTCCTTGGAATCTACCACATGTCGTTTGGCTGCCTTGCACAACAACTCTTTTCAGGAGAAAGCAATAGGGCACGATAGGGCAAATGGAAGCGGAAACTCGGCTTGCCCAATCAGCCTGCGTATTTGCTGGATTTTGTTTGGCTGCAAGACTCAGTGTTTTTGACTATACATAGTAATTAGAGAGGGCTTGAGCATGACTCATAGGACTGTGTTTGAAGACCAGTTCTTCCCAGCGCTGTCTCTTTTGAGTAGTGTGCACATGCTGGCAGACTGGTTTTATTGTATTTGAGACTTGGCAGTTTTTTCTTTTATTCACATACCTTTGCACTTCAGGCGTTGCTTCTCTTGGAGCCAAGATGCCTTTGATTCATCAATGCTGAAAAGGGTCAATTTGTCAATGCGGTGAAGCTTGTAATATGCCTGTTGATCAAAGTCAAAGCAGCAGGTCAGATTTCAAGCAAGGTGTGGTTGCATTGCATTGGGGAATCGTGCATTGGGCGTTTGACAAGTGTGAACTGGTATGGGGCCTACGACTGGTTGTTCCACCCTGATGAAGCTTGCCCATTTGAGTGGCAGTCAGTGTGGAGGCAATCTACCCTCAACCGACGGCTATTCATGCCTCGTTGGCTGGTGGGCTTTGCCAGCAGAGGAGCTAGTCAGTCACTCTTCCTTTAGTTGCCCTGGTACCCTGGAATCCTCATACTGACTCATACCGCCCTATGTTTGAGCAACAGGCACATGTCCACCTGGCAACATGTCATGACGTTGACATGTTCACATAAGTCGTCCCACCTTGTTTTGTTCAGGATATGTTTGCCAGGTTTTGCAAACCATCTCGGCATGTTCAGGCCGCCAGGGTCTGGCTCAACTACCCCATACTAGTGAGTGGTGGCCTATGAATCGGACTCCTCTCGCCACAATTCTCCTCTCCGATCGCCCATGGAATGTCCGCGTAGTCGGCCCTAATGACTCGACTTCTTGCCTTTTGGGAGTTTGGGTGGTGCGGAAAACTCATCACATGCTGTGATTTTGGCTGGTCTGGGTTTTGCCCACCTTGCATCCGGGCCTGTCCTCCTACCGTCTGACTTGGGGGAGATCAACCCTTAATTGTTGCCAAAAGGTCCGCTTTTGACCGTTCACAATCCAACTGTTTGGGTTCTACTCTGAAAACATGGTGCAATTTGAGGGGGAATCTGCAACACATGAAGCCACTTTGCTGAGGAAGGCCCGTGGGTTGAATGTGAGACCACAACAAGAAAGCACAGCATTTGTGCCGCCAACCCCAACATACAGTCATACGAGCAAACCAATGAAGCAAGCTTCAGGACACCATTGTTGAATGGCATGATGAGAACAACGATTTAGAGACCAGAGAGGATTTGGATTCTCGTGGCAAGCCATGCAGCTTCAACTGTGCGCGCCGCGAAGCATTTGTGGCGCTTGCCGGGAAACTGCAGTCCAGAGAGAGGCCTCAAATCAGCGAATGCAAGTGTCGCCAAGCTACAGCTCGCACCCGAGCTTTATCATTTAAATTTATATGATGACCAAGAAGTGAGAAGTACCAACTACCATCAACTACGAGCATGGTAAAGGTCTGTTGTAGATATCCTGTATACCAATTGAACATCAGGAACGGCAGTGGGCGGAAATTGACAAAAGATATCTACAGGAAGCTTCAATTTGTGATGAATGGTGGACTGATGATGTGATGTGTTGAAATGGGTTCTACCTTACCTATGGAAAGGCAAGCACAGCAGTATATTCACGTGCTTAGACTTTCCAATTTAGTTCCTCCTTTGTACGATTTGTACCGTTTGTGCTGGGTTTGTACTTTTCTCTAGAATCTAGAAGTCTTTACATGTTCTTTCATGTTCTGCATATGTTTCTACTACTAGTTTATTACTTTGCACTGTGTTTAAACATCTCTACTTTCGCATCGTTTTCTCCGGCCATCTCCACCTCATTCACCTCTGTTCCATTTCACAATCAACTCGTCGTAACTCGGAACTTTCTCATCGGAGCTTCTTTTGTATATGTTTACTATTGTTTACTGCATGTATACTGTATACATATATATATATATGTTTGTATCCACTGTGGGAAGAACTGGCTAGCCCCAGCCATTGTTGCTCCGCCCTTGTGGAGCGGCGAAGGCGGCGCGGCCAGTGCGGTCAGCACGGCTCCGAGAAGGCCCACCAAGCCAAGGACAAATCCAATGCGAATCCTACCTACTAGCGTCCTTGCTACTAGTAGCTATGCCAGGAGCCCCTAGTAGCTTTTTGTTCCTAGTAGTAAGGCCAGGAGCCCCTAGTAGCGTCCTTGCTCCTAATATTATTCGCAAGTTTTCTATATCTAAGTATGTAGATGTTGTTGGAGCTCGATTTCTTTGTGGAGTGCGTGCGTCAGGTGCCGCACTTTCTGCTTTCACAAGTGTGAGTGTGGTCTAGAACTCAGAGAAGCTGCAGACACTGGTGAAAACGAGACCACGTTTTTGGGTATTTGCACATGGTAACATCAAACAGTGGCTGTCCAAAGTATACTCCCCCGATCATACACACTCATTGGTATCCTATTCTGTGGCTTCAAAGGCACTCAGAGGCTTACTGTTTGGAGCAGTATTTCGTCTAAACTACTGCTGCTATAACTCCAACTACCACCTCCGTTTTACACCATGTCTACAAAGACTGATTGCCTCCCCGATGCCGCAGAAGCATCAGTCGACCTTTTTGAAGGGACCTGACCACGTGGACTCTTGAACGTATTATGTGTGAAAGGAAATATCAAGGAGCAAGGTGTCAAGTACTTGAATTCCTTCCTAGAGAACCCAGCCGTTATTCTGGTTGGGGTATGAAAGGCGATGAAGGGCGAATTATTAACATTTACACAACTATGTGTAAACCGATAGAGAAAAGCCTATGCTTCTACCCTTGATTCTGTATCATTGTCCGGGTGAGGCACTTGTTGCACAAAGAAAAGTCTTCCACAACGCAAAAAGGCGCCCATTGTGGACATCCGGTTTATGGTGGTTTATGGGGCAAGCTTGCAGCGTAGTGTCATTGTTCACAGTCCAACAGTCGAGTACTTGTGCGAATACACTGTCCAGCTATGTCCAGATCAATTGTTGATGCACAGGCATCGTGAGCGCCGGAGAGTGTCGGAGTGCCGCTCCACGAGCGAGGCTGGAGAGCCCGAGACATGTAACTCAAGGTCTTACATAACTTACACTAAGTCTATAAGTGCTTCGAAGAAGTTGGCAGGGTCGAGGGTGAACCTGAGTGGCTCTTTTCCCGGCGGAGAGTCATCACAGTGTTTGTTCTGACTGCTTGAACAGCGACAACATTGAGGAGTCACTTGATTTTGGCCTTGAGTCGGAGCTGATTGTGAAGGTGGGGAAACTGGTTTGCTGAACGCTTTGCAAGTTGCTGCTTGTTTGATCGTGTTTGTGGATTCAGATGCTTTGCAGCGCAAGCTACATTTCCAGCAAAGCTTTACAGGTTCCACCATACGACCGGCGGAAGATTGGGGTCAGTGCCTCGGGCACTTGTTAGGCCTTGGGAAGGGAAGCTGCATCCAGCCCTGTGGTGAATGTCCGCCGCTGCCAAGTTCAAGCCAAGAGTCTTTCCAAGTTTGACAGGTTCATCTTCTTAAGCCATCAGTTTCTACTTAAAGGATCTTCAACCGAGCTTGGTGTTGCCAATAGACTCGAAGTATCGTATCCAGGTCAACTGCTGAGCACCAAGTCATCAAGCACTCATCCCAATTCTGTTGCATTTTGCTTCGTACTTATCAGCAATGCGCGCACAAGAACCTCAGAGAAGTCGTGCATCAGAGCTGCGGGCCGATGTTCGTATTGCTCCAAAGGACCCTGCTGCGGGTAAAGGCTGCCAAAGTGCTCAAGCTGCACTGGAGGCTCTCGTAGCTGCCAGAAAGTTGCGTAAGCAAGCTGAAGCTGATCAGCAACGGCTTTGTCGCCATCAACAGAAATGGGAAAAGCTTTGTGAAGCTCCCTTTGAGGAGCAATCGCCAGATGCGTGTGGAGTCTGTAGTCCGGCGACTTTCTGGCAACGGCACAGCTTTGGCCGATCATCCCGCCGAACTGTGCCTCAACCTGTGCAACTGACTCATCGACCTCGTGACAAGGTATGTATGGAGATGTTTCGGCGATCACCAGTGCATGCAAATGATGCTATAAAATCTGTTATTGAAAAGCCAAGCGCAAAACCAAACGAGCTGAGGGCAGACAGCGCCAAAGACTTTCTCTTAGAGGCCTCATTTGACTGGAGTGATCCTTGCACCTTGGCATACAATAGTGGGCTTGCGGGCTCTTGCCGGCAGGAGAAATGGGCATATCAGCGACAACTATTCGCTGAGCTGGAGACTCCTAGCAAAACCACCTTTGGCTTTGATGAGGAAGATATGATACTAATGAGAGAGTCCCAGGCTTTGGACAGGGTGGCAGGAGGAGGTGTGAACCTTGCTAAACATGTTTTGGCGCTGAAGGACGACGGAGCGGCCGTGGAGGAGTTTAAGACGAAAATGGTTCAGTTTCTATGTTTCAAAACGAACAAAGGGCATCGCTACCAACGGAGCAAAAAGCTACTAGTAACTAGTAACTTACAATCCATGGTGCGTTTAGTCCGTGAAACTACGAAGTTGGGGAGGATTTGATCCCATGGTGTAGCAGAGCTCAAGCAGCTGCCTTCGAGATGCCCAAGGAGATTGCTTTGCAGCTGGCCGTGGCTTTTGCCGAAGTCGATGGTGAGCTGGAGCTGCACGAGCTGAAGGAGTTGCAGGCCACAGCAATGTCATTGATCTCGTCAGCTGCAGCACGGGCTCGAGACTCCGACAGTTGTGAATTCCCATTGCTGGGACTTGAGACTCTTGCTCAGACCGGATTGGGATGGACAGCCTTCTCGAACATGTTCTTAGCCACGCTTCATGCACAGCTTCAGCGTGAAGCAAACAGATCCAGAGTTCTCACCAAAGCATTGGCCCATCGTGTTGCTTCAGTCTTCATTTGGGCTGCCAGTCATGCTGACTTGCGAGTTGATTTGTCACCTGCAGGAAGAAGGGTGGCACAAGCGGTGTGTGATGCACTTCTCGAGGAATGTGACGCAAACACACTGAACTTGCTCAAAGGCCTCACAATTCGAGGTGCTTGACGCTTGACAACTCCAAATGTTTCTTGCCTAAGGCAAGCCATCGTACAAGCTTGAAGAGACACAAACCACACGTGCAGCATTGGTACTTCATGTATTGGATTGTATTGGCTTGGTTTTGCTGCATCATGTGACAGAGGTTTATACACTAGCGATATCTAGCGGTGTTTTTGACCGCGAGATGAACTTGTTACTTGTTCGAAGTGGCCCCCTCTCGACCTAGAGCAACGATCGTCCTCTCCATCTATTCTCTCGTGGTTGGGTACTGGGCCGCCAGAAGGCCAGTAGTGGGCGGGGATGCCTCCGGCCAATGTCAAGTGCTATGCCTTGCCAGCCTTTTGTACGCGCTTTGGTAACTTACCGTCGTGCCACTTCTGATTGAGGATCCGCCATACCATACCATCGCGTTTCCTCTCAGTCAGAATCTCTATCAACGTGTGCGCAAATGCACAAGGCAGAAGAAATCTCTTGATACCGTGCCAATTCCCAATTGAATGCATTCGTTCGCAATTCATAATTTACCGTGTGGTACATTCCTTGTCTTAAACCGGGTGTACTTGGAGGTGGTCGCACGTTTCTGTCACATACATGTTTTGTGATACATATATAGATATCCTCTGGTACCCCGCATATGTGGAAGGGCCTAGAGGAGCGACCATATGGACCGATCGCGAGTTGGTTTGTGGTGACTCCAGTGAGATTTTTGCGCCGGAGGTGGCCAGTGCTTTCCCTCCATAGCAATCCGGTGCTCACGCAGTTCAAGCCGGCAGCCAGCGCGAGTAGCAATTCGTCTGTCCACTTCTCTTTTTTTATGTAACCATGAAATGGTGCAAGGAAACGAAAACGGAACAGAGGTGGCTGGGTATCTTGAGCCTGTGTTTTTTTAAAAACATTTTGGCTCAAGATCCCAGCCACCTGATTTGCTCCCTCATTTGTTTTAGGGGCAATAGCGCTATCAGTGACGCTTAGCGCAGGTGCGCTGTTGGCTACTTGCAAACTACTCCAATTGCCATCAAGTTTGATCGTCGCGGTCATTCTTGCAAACTTCACGCGGGCCTTGGCCCAACAGCCTGTGTTGACGCCCCATTTGCTGGGCCCCAGCGACTTCGCTGGAATAACACATGGCAAGGGACTTACTACCCACCGATGCTGAGTTGACAGGTCTCGACAGCATCGAGCGAGTGGGCACTTGGGCCGGCTTGTCTGAGCAGGTGTGGAATCAGTTTGACGCCACGCTGGGGGGTACTACATCTTTGAGGATTTTGGCGACCCTCCCATTGGCCACATTGCACACTGCCACCTCGCGAACGCGAATTCCTGCAACTGCCACGGTACCAGAGAGAGAGCTGTATGCAGTCGAGATCATTCAAGTTGCCTTGGTTTGGCGCATCGCTCGTAGATTGTTTCGGCTACCAGACCTAGATCCATTACAGACTGATGAGGCCACGACTTCAAGTGCTGCACCTACGGCTGGGGGAGGAGTGGAGACTCCCCCAACCAAGAAGGTGAAGATGTCCACGGCCCTAGATCAGTTGGATGAAACTGAAGTCGAACTACTGGCAACATCTGCCATCGATCAAGCTTATCGAAACTTTCGTGAGGCTGTGGGAGCCGATCCGCTTCCAAAGTCGGACCCGTCGGTGGAACAGATAACAGCCACGCATACAAAAGTCCTGAAGAGAAAGGAGTCGCCCTACGCTGATTTTCCAGTTCTCACGCCATATGGCAGAAGAATGCAAAAGCAGACCAAGGCCAGAAACTTCCTTTTGCAACCTGACGGGACTTGGAAGACGGTTGAAATCCCAGGCCCTCCGACGTTCCAAGCATGGTGCGCTTGTTGGAAGATCTATCGCACGGTTATGCTGATGTTGAAGCATCCGGGAAACACTGCAACCGGTTTGGGAGAGATCCCAATCATGACAGTGGTAGCCTTGGAAGAGTATTTCAACCGTGTTTCCGACCTCCATGAAGAGTTCCCAGAGGCCTGGCACTTGATGATGCAAGCGGAGGATCGTTGTAGAGGGGAACAGTTTGATAGGTTCCACCGTGAGCTCCTTCGTGCAAGGACGGAAGGGAGGCTGCCGATGAACCTTGATTTTGATCCATTTCGTCCATGGGTTGGAGTCATGCAATTCGCAGCCAGGAATCAAGAGTATTGGGATCGGACGGTTGTACGCCCAGCTCAAACGTTCATTGCACGAGGAGGGACATCATCATCAGGTAGCCGGGATGACATCGAAGGAGGCGGAAGACTCTCAGCTTGGTGAAGCAGCAGCTCAAGCTTTGCATCGTCCACCAGGGGAAGGAATGTCGAAGACGGCAAAACGTCGACAAAGGGACAAGGCCAAGATTGAGAAGTTGCAGGACGATCACAGCAGGCAGAGGTTCAGGGACACTCCATGGCGGCAACAACAACAGACGGGCAAGGGAGGTTGGTCGGCATCTTCGACGCAGGAATCGGGTCACCCTCGGAAGGCCGGCCGGGGGTTTCAAACCGATCGTGAAGGGAATCAGATCTGTTTCAGCTTTGCCAAGGGACCTCTTGGATCATGCAGTGAACCTTGTCCCCAGCAGCGGACACAGTATTGCCTACTAGGCTCCCATCCCAATGTCCAATGTCAGAGCAAGGGCAAAGGGAAAGGGGGCAAGAAGGGCAATCGGAAGTGACAGGAAGAAGACTCTGTGCTTGTGCATGATGGTGCAGAGGCATGGAGTGATGCATGCATGAATTTAGAGCCAATGAAGCAAACAGCTAGGCTACAGCAGACTCAGAGAGCTTTTCGATTCGGTGAATTCTTCGCTGGATATGGAGGTTTCACAAAGATGCTAGAGGAGTTGGCAGGTGAGACAGTGGAGACTATGGCACCACAGGACCACTATGAAGGCTGGGACATCCTTAGTGACGAGGGCTTCAGGTTGGACTGGAGGTGTGTGAGACGTTGGATCATGGTCACTTTGCACCGCCCGAGACGGAAGAGGCTAACAAGTTAGTGGCTCGGATGATCCAACTTATCTTGGTCTTGATCAGGAGACACAGGACCTTTGCAGTTGAAAACCCATGGGACTCCTTCCTGTGGCAGCTCCATGCTATGGCAGTCCTGTTCAAACCAGCGGGAGTGGAGCTGATCCTGGTACATCAGTGTGCCTATGGAGCAGTCACCAGAAAGGCTACAGGTATTCTCACCAATGCTGCATGGATGAAGAAGGTATGTTCTTTGTGCTGGCAAGTCCGGAGGCATTACCATTTGAAAGGCAGTTTAGTGGGCTTAGTGTGGTCTTATGTTGATCAACAAATGGCGTGGCGCACTTCGTTAGCTGCAGAATACCCATGTGGTTTGGTGATTGCGTGGTCCAGGTCTTTGATTGAATGGTTGAATGAAGAAGCTGGGCGATCGTGGATGCGAGAAAGGAGCTATGCCGTGGTTGGCAAGTGGCGGAATGTTCTTGTGCTGGCAGGCAAAGAGAACAAGAAGACGAAGACGCTAGATGGAGGAGGAACTGTGGAGTCCTAGCTGGAGCGGAGAGAGAGGGAGAACAATGAAGCTACAGGTGGATTGAGAAACGCCAAACGAGCGGTTGCTAGATCCAGACCTCTTCGCAACACAGGCGAGAGACTTCGGGCAGTCGTTGAAAGATGGATTGATGACGACTTAGTTCAGCAGCTGGAGACTAAGCTAGAAGACGGTTTGACAAAACAACAGGAAGAGGAGCTGCGAGGCATGCTGGCAGAGGAGTTTGATGTTGAGGTTGAAGAAGGACCTTGGCCAGTTTCTCTGTGGGCGAGCGTTCTGAAGGCAGCCAATGATCCTGAAAGGGATACGCTGCCAGGTTGGATGAGAGAGGGCTTTCCACTTGGCATCTCCAAGGAAATTGCGTATACAGGCGTTTTCCCCAGGACGCATGAAGACACAGCGTCGGTCGAAGCTTCACGCCTAGGAGGCTCTGTGTTGGAGGATCATTGGGGCGACATGGAGAACTATGTCAGCTTTCAACAGGAGGCCGAACGAGCGCAAGACCTATTGGACCAGATGGTTGAGAAGGGCAGAGCTGAGATTAGGTTCTCGTGGAGAGAAGTTGCGAGGGACTTCGGCCCGAGCGCAAGGTTGACCAAAGCTGGCTGCATCACAAAGCAGAGGGAGGATGGCTCAGTCAAAGCACGGCTGATCTTCGACGGAAGGAGGTCAGGGATCAATGGTATGATAGTGTGCAGAGGACGAGTCAACTTACCAAGAACCAGTGATGTCGCCCGGGGGTTTCAGCAGCTTCTGTCAAACAATGGACAAAGAGCAGCATCAGGAGAGGTGTATGCAGAATTGTTCGCGCTGGATTTCAAAGACGCCTTCAACTTGCTTCAGCTGAGGCAGGATGAGAGGAGTTTTGTGATCATGAAAGGCCTGAATGACTCACAAGGACGTTGCCGGTACTATGTGTGCAAATGCATTGTCTTTGGGGTTGCCGCTGGCCCTTTGATCTGGTCCAGACTGGCGGCAGCAGCTACGAGGATTGCGCAGTCGGCCTTGAGGGCAGAGGAAACAGACATCAATTGTTACGTCGATGATCCCATAGTTGTTTCAATGGCCAGTAGTCACAGCCAACATACTAGACATCTGCTTACGTACACCGGACTGTGGATGGCATTGGGTTTGGAGCTTTCATGGAGCAAAGCAGTTCGAGGCCATACATTGACTTGGATCGGCTTCAAACTTTCTTTGTTAGGACCACAGGGTGTTGATTTACAGGTGGAGTTGGCTGACGCAAAGAGAGACAAGTTGTTGGCAACACTTGAGGAGCTCAGTCGATGCAGGGGAGTCATGCCTTTGCACCTTTTGAGGTATGCCGTCGGTGTGCTTGGTTGGCTGTCGTCGGCAGTTCCTGCAGCGCGCCCATGGCTTTCAATGCTATGGGCAGCGGTGACAGGTGCAAAAGAGCCTGTCAAGGACACCACTCGAAGAAGGGAAGGCCTAGTCTTCGTCCGCCAAGTGGCGAATGCATTGCGGTGGTTG